ATAATTACTGGCAAAGGTTATATAAATTTTAGCCTCTTCATTTACAATCTTTTAAACTTTGTTGTTCTATTCGATATGTATATGTATATATTTCCAAAATATGTCTTCCGTTTATTGTTTAAGTGTTAACGGGACCCTCGGGACGTAAATACCCTTCTTGTTTTTTAGAGGGTCCTTGATACTACATGATTATACTCATTTTTATATTCATTTTTTTGTATGTTTCATGTATGGTATAGCAATAAATTAAATCAAATCAACATATTATACATCAACATCAATCAAGAATGACACATTTGGTAAACCATGTGTAAACTAACTGAAGAATGGAAAATCATCACAAGCAACACAAGCTGCGCATACTCCCTACTGGGGCGTCGTCAGTGAAGGAATGGTTACAAATCCAGTGGTAATTTTTCTATTTTTCCTCACCTGCCATTGCCTTTAAGTGAAAATTGCCGCTTGTTTCTGTCTTGTTTTTTGCTGTTCCCAAGACTCCATATTAATCTTTGTGACATTTTTGCTTTCGTGAATGCCTACTTTTATTGCTCTGTGTGCCTTGTCTGCTCACTCACTCACTGTTCGACGACGGTTTCGAGACAATTCACTCAGGTACTAAAGGTACTGTACTGTATATCTTTCCAAGTGCTACAAGAGGCTTATAACACCGCCCTCTTCGTTGAATTCATCGTGCATCAACTTTTATTCAGCTTATGGAAATCTCACTATAACACACTAGTTGATACTCAAACCTATCCATCGCACCATTGCCAGTGCCACTATTCATTTAAATATTTTTTAAACAAACAATCGCCAAACTTGCAATGGTTTGGCCCGATCCTCCCTTACTTAAGATTTACATTTTCAGATTTCTATTTTTTTTCTTTTTTTTTTTTTTGGCTTAATATTGTAATACTAAGGGAAAAATTGTTTTGGGCTGTGCCCCTCCCTTGCGCGTGTTATTCTTTTGAATATACTTTGCCACTTGTCAAGGGAGTATTTATATGTTTCCCCTTTTTTTCTGAAATCACAATTTAGGCCTATACACATTTTATATTTTTATATTGTATATATTTTTGATATATATGAAATAAAAGTGATCTTAAAAAAAAAAATAAATAAATTAAAAAAAAAAAAAAAAAAAACAATTCCCAGAAGAATTACCGGCACACAAGAACTGCTCTAATACACTTGGATTTACAATAAAACTTCTAAGCCAATAATCACATGGATAGGCCTATTGACAAACAAAACATCAAAACTATAGATTTAAATCAAATTTTATGAGGAAGTAAAGGGCATTGACAGCTGCAATGCTGACTGGTCGGTCAAATCGTTTCGAGCAGTGAATGAGAGTAAAGACGTGATATAACACTTTTACAAAATTACAGACAAATGATTAAAAAACCTATATATTGTTACCTGTAGCGGCGACATCTATTTAACCAAAGGAAGCCACAAGAAGACGTGTAACTTGACTGGTAAGAAGTCTGAGCCAAGTATCTTTCAGATGCACTTTTTATTGTTGAGCAAACGTTTTCTCTGTACACAATAAAAACCAAATTAATCTTAAGCCCTGTTCAGACTATCAAATTGTATTTGACAAAAAAACATGTGACATGCCTAAATATGGTCATTATGACATCACATCATGACCATATATAGATACATCATGGCTATAATGGGATACTACAATTTTTTGTCAATATAAATTTGATAGTCAAGACAGGGTGTTATGCATTCATTATAACTTTATTTTTCACTTTGTAATTAAAAAAAATTGAAACATAAACTACATTATACTATTGGTGTTTTTTTTTTTTTTTTTTTTAAATAAGATACCGTACATGTACATTAAACATTTTTAAGTAGCAGTAAAAAGCCACTATTCATTCTATTAATGAGGGTCTATATAAAGTAAAACAATATTGTAAAACAGACAAACCCATTTCGATCCAAAGAATGGACGGGTTTCCATATGAGAAGTAAACCGAGGGATATAACAGGAACTAAAGTGTGCAGAGCCATCATCTATTCCAACACAAATCCAACAAGACAGGCCTACAATCTGTTATGAATACATTTAAATTTATTTATTTGCAACATAGGCTTATAATACTTTCTTGGTGTCAACTACGATGACATTCAAGACTTTGCAAAGTACAACTTATAGCATAATCAACAAATCAAAATACAGATAAAATGTATTTATATTTTTATAACTATAAATTCATCTTTTTCAATGTCACATCTCTTTTTTATCCGATGATGCCCGAAACATGCTTTATCAAATAAATTTCTACTGTGGCTGATTACAGTTTACAACAGCTTTTTTTTTTTATTATATATCTATAATACTCACTTAAAATTAAAAAAAACCTACTTTATAGACGTTTGACATACATTAAATTCATTTCAAAGTAGTATTGTTTACCCCCTGATTCGTACATTAAATATTGTATAATTTTGCAATCCGGGAATTCGAAAAAGAGAGGGCCCGGGGAAGAGAGCTTTACCTCATTCTCATAAGGTTGCAATTATGTTTATGGCATCCTTTAATAGCCAGAAATTCCACTCTCAGATCTAAATTTTAATATAATTTTTATATTTTCTTCATCTTTTTTTTTCCGGCTGTCGTTTAATCCAACTCCCTTCAATCCACTTTCAATTCCTTACGTTGTGTATATATAAATTAATTATTAGCATAAAACTGAAAGTAGTAAGACAAAAACAAACCATGGAATGATAATGATACTTTTATCTTTAGTTTTCGCAGGCAGCAATGTAAGACTTTTCTTAGTAAAACGTCTGAAAATCACTTGAAGTCTTATTTTAAGTTTAAAAGTTCTCTCTTGATTTTGTGCTGGAAGCATGACTTTCGTTTTTAAAATACGATGTAAAATATGGAACTGCATGTTGGTGAATCATCAAAACAACACAGTGACGGTTATTATGTATTAGTCACACTGTGATTGACGAGTGGAAGGAAATCTTTTCAAAATTGAGTAGTTGGCTACCGTTTGTATTCTATTAGGGTTTTTGTTTCTTTTTCGTTGTTATGTCAACCTTTAGATGTTTACATTAACCTAACAAAATACGTTGGCGTATTGTATACTTATTTTATACATACTTATTAAATTACATAATAGTTAGGTAGGGAGAGAAACCTCCACTAGTTGGCAGAGTATCCGTACTCTAATCAAAAGTTTCTGGCTTCAAACCCCGATGGGGAAAGAGTACTTTCTCAAGCAAATGTTAATACTTATTGAAGCTTTGCTAAAGCACATAGACCAGTCAACAAACACACAGACCAGTCAGCCAAGGTATCCAGCAGTTTTTGTAGCCTAATCTAAAATCACACAAGCATGACGCGAGCATTCATAGTATTATTGATTTGGAATAATATTAGGCCCTATATGAAAACGAAAGATTAACTGGGACAGTGAGTCACGTTAGCTTAAATCCTTTAAATGCAAGACGTATTGTAGAAAAATCCGGGTTGTCATGTATCATTATAGATCTGCAGTTAACACCAAACTACCAACCTGAAGATTTGATCCGGACACCTATTTAATTCAGATTAAACAACAGCTAGAGGTTCATTATGATGAAGACCATTTGTCATATTTATAGCTATAACCTTCTTAAGTGGTACACAAGACCCTTTTTCATTACTCCAAAAGAAGACGACGATAGTGATGCAGATAATGATGAAGAAGATGATGATGATAATGATAATGATGACAGTAATGATCATACCATGTTATAATTGCATAGTACAAAAAGAAATGCAGGAATACCCCAATTGTCATGGCTCTGATATACAATTGTTCACGATGTGTACAGTTCTTAAAAACCAAGAACAAACTAGATAAATACAGATTTGTGGGGTGTTTTAAATTTAAGCTCTGGATTATGCTATAATATGAATGAAAATATTGCTTTGTCAAATTAAGTATCGATAGTTTTGGTTTTTGTCATGCTATATTTACATGACTTGGCTATTTAAAACAACATTTCAAGCCCCGACACCTTGATTTAGAAATATCGGTATGGCGGGGGATAGTTTATTACCTGATTTTGTTACATTTTTCCTAGTTATCATTTCTGTTATTTATTTATGAGCGGACCATTGCAATTGTATTTCTATGAAAAAAAATGTTTTTGACAAATAACAATTAAATATACTCAATACAGAACACTGAATATAGGCCTATATATTACAAATTCAACAGACAAATGTCCAAGAGGAAACAATCGGCCAGGGCCCAACACAAAAGTGGGAATCTCTTAACATAAAATAAAATTCAATATAAAATATGTAAAATGATGATAATGATAACGATGATGACAATGGGAATAATGTTCAGATCAAGATTATGTAGTATAAAATATAGGCTATATGAAGTGTTAGGGAATAACCTAAAATGTAAAGGTTCTTAAACACAATTGTTCGCCAATTGTGTAGGCCTCCTTAGACACCAGTAACAAACTGCATTAAAAAAAAACCAGATTCGTGGGGTGTTCTTTATTCA